ATTTAAATATTTGACAAATATATTTTTTCAAGTGCAATTTGTCTTTTATGATGCAATTTGTCCATATATGTGGATTGTCTACTATTTTGTATTGTAGGTTTCATGTTTTGCATTTTCATTACCTTTTGTATATCAGAATAACATCTTTGGTAATAAAATATTGCATTAAGGAAATCCCACAAATTGAATTCTGGCCATAATACATTAGTAAAATAAATGCATGTATTTGATATCTGAAATTGATTAAATAGTAATTTAGAAAAGGTAATATAAATAAACCTGATTTTTAACTTACTTGCCACATAAGAAAATCACTAAATCTAACTTCTCCTGAAGTTCGAATTAATAAATCAGGATTTGGTGATTTATTAGTATATAAACAGTGAGAAATCAGATTTTCATCAATATCTTCTGAAAGAATATCACCACTCTGAATACCTTTTATTACATCTTTAATAGCATTCGTAATTTCATCTCTTGCTAAAACATTATATAACAACGAAGTTATAAAAATAAAAAATTTGAATTTATTTTTATTAAATAATTTATAATCTTACTATTATTTTATAAGGCTAATTATAATATGGAGATTGATTTTTTAATATACAAATTTGTTTCTTAAATATACTTACATGTATAAGCAAATGCAATATTAAGAAACCCTTTATTGTGTTCTTTAGTGAAAATCATAGTTTCTGCTATTAATTCTTGTATCTTTTGTGGTAATAATGATAAATTACCAATTACACGGACACATAATCCATGTTTTCGTATTTTATCCCTACATTAAAATGTTTCTTATATTATATAAGTTCAACAAATATTAAGGAAATTGCTTTATAATTGTAAAAAAGTTTCAACATACTTTTCACCTAATAAACGTTGAAATTTTTGTTCTGCAAGATTTAAAATTCCATTTACTTCTTCTTTTTTTCTTTTAAAATTTTCAATACTAAATGCATAAAATGTTACTTCTTCTATACCAAGATCTCTACACCATTGTAAAGTTTCAGCAAACTTATCAAATCTTAAAAATTACAATTTGTATTCAATATAAAGTACCACGAAACATAAAATTATATAGAAATAAAATCTGAATAATGTAAATACATGTAATATTTTCTTTATTAGTACACACCCTTTCGTATGTCCTTCTATTTTTTCCATTCCATTTTTACTTGCATAACGTCTATTACCATCCATTATAAATGCTACATGTTTAGGAATATGTCCAGTTCTTAAAATTCTTATAGCCAAAAGTTGAAACCAGTTCAAAGTGCTATCTCTTATCCATGACATTATTCACAAATATTTAAGTTTAATGTTTAAAACTAAATTATTTTGCACTAGACAATAAATATGATATATTACAAATTGATTTGTGTATATAAAACTTAATAAACAATATGTTTTTTCCTTATTAAAGGATATGTATGATCTGAGGTAAATTTACAATTATAGAATTCCTAATAATACGGGTAAATGATACCTTACGACATGTCATGCACTATGAAAAAAACTATTAAAGTCATTATCCTACTGACACGTCGACATTTAACCTTATTAAAATTTTGAAATACATATTTATCATTTGAAAAAATTGTAACAATTTATTACATATACTTTATTCGTAATTTATATTAATACAATTGTTTATATACATCAACAAATATTAATTTTTGAAGAAATAACGAATCTTTTAAAAAGTTACATGCGTGATATCGCATACATATACATTATTTATATGTATATATAAATGTATGTATATACGTATCGTTACACATCGATATTTCGAGTTTATTCGAGTTACCTAGCGTCCATCTTGAAGTTTTAGCTTTTGTGAAAAAATGCACATTATGTTTTTATTCCTCATAAGTATACGTAAGTATTTAAGTATGTAGAATAGTATCAAATAATAATAGCTTTACTCTTTTTTATATACTTTTTTATGAAAGATACAACCAGAAATTAATCTTATTATCTACGAAAATTTCTGTTATATCACATTACAAAATAAATGAAAACATTATTATACTATTGAAACATTCAGATGATTGAAATTGAAAATTAATTTGACACGTTTATGTTTTGAGATAATGAGTAAAATTTTAATAAAAATTAGAAAATGATATAAGGATACTAATGTCCTGTTATTAATAATTTTCAGGATCGTTGTTTCTTGCTTAACTCGAACCATTTTAAAACTACAAACATGTTTTTTGAAATAAAAATTTCTTTCGATTCTTTAGTAAATATTATAACAGTCATAATTAATTCATACTCTTTAATATGTTACAATAACAATGATGAAAAACTTCATTTTATAAGCTGCTTTAATTAATGCTAGACTTAAATCAAAATTGTCAGGTTTGTGATACTTCTTACAATTGCGGTTTTCTGTCACTGTATTTTTAATTTCAAATAAGCCGCGTTACATGGTGCAGATACCGTTCACAAATATGTTTTATTGTGATACAAATACGTAATAATAGATAATCATAGTGTGCAATATTAATGTAAAAATTAGTTATCCAATATATCCCCTGTCAAAACGTAAAAGAAAAGGTCACAATGCTTCCTTGTTTCAAAAGGGTATGAATGGAAATAAAATTATACAGGGTTTTGAGATACAAGTTACGTCCCTGAATAATACGGTACGTTGTGTCGACAATCGGGTAGGGGGGGACTACTTTCCGTTGAGGAGGTGAGCGTGCGTGTGCGTCTCGCGGTCGAGACCTCGCGAGAGAGAAAATGAAATCTGAAATGGTTACTGCCGCGCTATGACCCTAAAAAGCAAATGTTTCTCTTTGTCTGTGAGTGAATAATAAACGATTGGTCAGGCGAAATGGAGGGAAGCGTGTCCAAGAACGAGACTGCAATAGCACCAGGTAAAGAATGGGAGCGATAAGCGCCCTTACCATCCGCAACGAAGCGAGGCGTGCGGTTCGTTCCTAAGCAGCGTTCTTTCTTACAGAGCTGTACTTCCTAATTGCCAAATTCTTAGCGGCGGGACCTTGTCGCGAAGCCGCAGACGTGAGTATTCTCAAATTAAAAACAGTAAAATTTTGTTGTAATATATCATGACGAGAAATGTATGTTCTAGGTGTTGAAGCGTGAATTGGAGCGAGCTAAGGTAAGACGATTGGTCTGAGTTGACGTTTTGCCGGGGTGACACTATACATACCCATCGGCTCCACATGGTTTGCACGTGGTTTCTGCTTGTCAAAACATTAGAATTTCAAGGTCGGCGACCTTGATGTTCGACAAATTGGCACAATTTTATCTCGAGTATGATCGATCGATCGATCGACTTGTTTTTACGATTTTTTACTTTTTCTTAGGTTTTGCCACAAAGACTAGATTGGGAAGGGCATGTACATAATCAAACATTCGAAGAATTGGTAAGTAGAATTAATATTTTGGGAAAAAATTTAATTTCGTGTATAAAAATTCATCATATAGGTTAGAATAAATAGGTTATTTTTTAGAATAATATTATAGCAAATTTTGTTTTGCTACGTCGTAAGCTAGTCGACAAATGCCAATGTATGAAGTACCCCTAATAGGGTGCTACCCCTTTTCTGTCCCACTCCTCAACCCTTCTCCTCCTCCATGATCCTATGTTGCTGTTGCACAAGATTCCCCCACCATATTACTTTCAACCAATAAGCATTAACTTCCGGCCATCTTGCGTGTACTGATCAATGAATATATCTCACGCTCAGACCTTATTTATAGAAACTAGTATCATGCCTGACGAGTGGACTATTCAGATTGGTTGCGTTTGCTTGTTTGTTCTCTGATTGGCTACAAATAGGGACTACTTTAGGTTACTTAAATTTTAATTATTAACGCAAATCAATTGTATAGTAAAATATAATTTTAATCATTTTCTTTAATAATTAGAACTTATTT